TGATATCAGAGACAATACTGTCAGAAGTAATCTGATTACTGCATGGGGATACAGTTTATAATCGCTTGACGGCACCGGGCCGTACGCACGTCCTCTAACAACATGTTACTATAGCAGCAGCCTGGTGCCAACATGGCCACTGGTGGCTGCATGGGCACTATGCTAACACTATGCTAATGCTAGCACCTCCAGGATACAAAGACTGTAAAAAATACAAAATGATTGCGAACTCTTTAGAAAGCAAACACGCCAGTAAAAATCTGAGGTCATCAGGGGTCATAGGAGGCGGAGCTACAACTGTGACATCACAGGCTGAAAACAGGCTAGTTTTAGGGTCAGGGGTCATAAGAGGTCAAAGGTCAGAGGTCGTGGTAGATGTTGGCGACGCCTTACAGCTGGATCAAGTCATGGATGTCTTAACTGTGGAGTTTGTCGTACAGCTCCCCCGGAGGTCAGATGAAGGAGAACAACGCTGACGATGGTAAATGGCATCAGTGCATTTAAACTCAAGAAGAGGCTTTCATTACGTGACACTGTAAAGACTAACGAAGAAATGATGGACAGTCAGAAAGTGTGATGAGCATTGGCAGTGGGCTCGTGAAGAGATCCATGATCAGAGCCAGCTGTGTCTGTACGGACATCAGTGTTCATACCTCTGGGCTGGGGCAGTGTGTTTCCATCCTGTAGGGGGCGTGCTATCGAGGGATTGCTACTTGCAGGCTACACTGGATTTATTAGCACCATCCACAGTGTCAGTCTGATTCTGAGACAAAATTGATCAATAACTTTATTGATGACTGACTCAATCAGGTCCTGACAGGATTAAATATGAAAGACTTGCCTCATACTGACTGCAGTGGATTTAATTCACAACGAGCAGACGGAGTTTCTGTAAAGACGAATGTGTTTCCAGCAGTCAGTGAGGAACACCTGCAGGAGGCCGGGTCACACTGCGGTGTGACAGGTGAACGGATGGTACAGCTCAGGTGAGTTTTCTCATAATGAAAGGAAACATGTTCCTGGTTATACTTCTACGACTATCACGACTACAACTACTGCGCTGGTCGCTGATGACAGAACATGAGGAGGAGTTTTAGGAAGAACAAGATGAAACGTTATTAAGTTAAGTTTGATTTCTGAAACAATTCGAAAGACAAAGTCAATAACATTCAGTCCTAACTACAGTACCACTGTTGTACTAAGAGTAACGCGGTAACTTCAGAACCGAGTCGCACAAACTGAAGCGACTCTTGGACTCTCTGCTTTATGATAAAGACGTGATGTTGGACCGACCACCGGGAGGCGCCACGATCCTCTGAGCTGAGCGGCGAGGGATGTGGTCATCGATCTGAGCTCCTGGACACAAGAAGAGGAACAAGAGTTTGTTATCAAATTCTCTTCTTCTTCATTTAGCTGCTGTCTGTGTTTACCCACAATGCACCTCACTGGGTTGATCACGTTTATTAATCAGACATTGATCAGAATGCTTCAGACACATCTGCATTTGTGTGTTCGCCTACCTGCCAGGGTGAAACCTGACTGGTGAAGGTTTCGGGGACCAGTCTGGGCTTTTGGACAGGAGGGCCCCCTGGTGGTCGGAGTGGGCGGGACCGATTGGGTCATACTGATGACATCATGGACCGGACCATCATAGTTTCCACGGGGGACGCCGCGAGCCTCGGCCATCTGAGACGAGGAGACAGAACCATCTGAGAACAACTGACCCTACAAACATGCTGAACACCTAACTAACCATCCATTCACCAATTAGATTATCAAACTGACATGGAATCAATCAGTTAATTCTATTTATCAACCAGACAAACTCAAACAAATGATCAATCAGTGTGTTGTCTTTGAAGTTGATGTGTGTAAGTTGATTAAAAACACAAGTTAAATAAGTTAAAAAGTTGTTTTTTGCAGTTCTTTGAGAATCTGTCAGAGTGAGCCATCTGATGGTGAACTATCTTTGATTCTCCATCATGGACAGAGTTGGACTTGTAGCGGCTATCAGTAGCACAACGGAGCTTCACGGTATCGCTAAATTGTTCATACATGCTTTTGCCTTGGAAAATATTTGCCTGTTAGTAAAAGTGTGCACAAACATGAAATCCGTTCCATATGTGTTTTAGAGCCGACGTTTCTGTTTGTGTCACTCCGCTCGTGATAAGAGCCGTTAGCAGCTAGCTTTAGCTAAAGGTTTATTAGCTGTGGTTAAATGTTGTTCATGTTCATGCTACATGGCAGCTATATGTTTTGTTTCATGTTTATGTCGTGTGACTGTGTAGTTATTTTATTTTCTCTGTATCTTCAGTTTTACAAGACGCTTGAAAGCTATCAAAGAACAGTAAATGCTAGCCTTGTGTGTTTATTGAACATAGCTGGAACATGCTAACTGGCTGTCTAGCAGTGCGAAGCTGACGCAGTGTGAGGGCAGCACAATCAGGTTATCAACCAGATATGGAATCAATCAACTAACTGGTTAATCAGCTCATCAGTCAGGCTGTGGCTGAAGTTGCTGCTTGTCAACCTCCAGCTGTAAACCAGTCATCTGTTCCTGGTTACCTTGCTGCAAACACTGATCACCTGTCAGACAACCAACTGGTTAATTGGTTGAGTTACCTGGCAGGTTAACTCAGGTTACCTGGTCAATTGGTGGCGTGACCCTGCAGGTTAACTGGTTAGATTACCTTGCTACGGGCTTTGATCCTCTTGTAGACGGTGTCTGGAAACGCCTTTCTGGGGATAAAGCGTCCAGAACCATCGGTGACGTTCAGTTTTCCGTCTTCCAGGACGACTCTGCCGCCACTGATCACCAGCGATGCGACGCCTCGAAGCTCAAAACCCTCCAGGATGTTGACCTCCACCGTCTGCACACAGAAGGTGATGATGGTCGGTTATGACGGACAGATGATGGATGGTAGAGGTTGATGCAGCTGACATGTCGTTACCAGGTTGTGAGTCTTTGCAGAAACAGTTCGTGTTTCCTTCGGGTTCCAGATAACGATGTCCGCATCCGATCCAACAGCGATCCTTCCTGGACACAGAGACATTGTGGTAACTGCTCATGTCTGATTTCATGAGCCAACCAACATGCAGGAACATGCAGAGGGCTGGAAGAGTTTCTGTCCTACAGTGTTTATCTGTCTTCAGGACACTGTGTGTTACCTTTACGAGGGTAAATGTTGAAGAGTTTTGCAGCGTTGGTGCTCGTCACTGCAACAAACTCATTCTCATCCATCTTTCCCGTCGACTGTAGAGACACAACAAAGGACAGACTATGAGTTTTCAGTCAGTGATGTGCTCTGGTATCCACCTCTGGTGGACTCATGGGTGGAGACACAGAGAGTCAAAAACCAGAGAGACAAAGAGATTCACTGAACACCTTTGCACTTTGCACTTGACATCCCGAAAACAAACAAACAAAAACAAAAAAACAAAACGAAAAATGCCAATCACCTCCCTTCAACACCCATCACGCCTGAACTTGTTCTATGGCACTTATCTAGATTGTTCTGTCCTGACCAGATCCTTGCTTGTGTTGTATCTGCTCTCAGATGTACGTTGCTTTGGATAAAAACGTCTGCTGATGAAACTGTAGAATTGTAGATACTGAGTGGTTGGACAGAGACCGGTCAGACACTCAGCCTGGACATTAAAACACAGAAACACTGCAGACCATGTGACTAAGAGGAGGCAGGCGATTGGCCGTTTGACAGTCAGCCAAAGGTCAAGTGATCTCACCACAGCTCTGTCCCAGACCACCGACATCCTCTCCTCGATGCCGTTGGTTCCCTCTGGGATCAAAGTGAAGTCATCTTTACCAACAGCTTTCTGAGCTGTGGAGAAGCTGGCCTGAGCACTGGAGGTCACCTGGAGGTCCCCACTGCAACACACATAACACACACAACACACACCGGAGAACTTCTCTTCACACAGCTGGACAGGGAGACGGAGCCACGCTGCTAGCATGCTAACAGAGAAGTTGGAGTCAATGTAACCAAGCTAACAGAGTGGTCACATACTAACCTTCCTGACAGAGAGGTCAGATATTAAACATGCTAAAAGAGCGGTCAGATGCTAACCATGCTAACAAAGAAGTCAGATAACAACGATCCTTACAATGAGCACAGATATTGTCAATGCTAACAAAGAGGTGAATGCTAATCATGCTAACAGTGAAATCAGATACAGATCATACCTACAAAGATTTCAGATATTAACCATGCTAACAGGGATAGCAGACGGATAGTAACCACGTGAACAGAGAGGCTCAGATGCTATCAATGCCAACAGAGAGGTCAGAAAATAACCATGCTAACATAGACGTGAATGCTAATTAAGGCTGGTCCGAATAGCAATTTCTGTTCTCCGGATATTCGGCCCCAATTAATGACAAATATCCTGAAGATTTTGGGGTGCCGCGCAGCAGTTGTGGCCGGTGAGTATTGGTTCAGACGGAGGTGGGGGGACACGCACAGGCAGCATTTGGCTAGTAAGACCAGTTAGCAGTCACGGCACTGTTTCCGCGGCAGCAGGAGGCGGGGAGGGGGACACACACGAACATTCGGAGATCAAAATCCTGATTCCAGCACAGCGAATGAATAGTTGGCTATTCAGTTCCAGCCCTAATGCTAATCATGCTAACAGTAAGGTCAGAGGCTATCCATGCTAACAAAGAGGTCAGATACTATCAATGCCAACAGAGAGGTCAGAAAATAACCATGCTAACACAGACGTGAATGCTAATTATGCTAACAGTAAGGTCAGATACTAACCTTGAGGTCAGATACTATCCAAGCTAACAGAGCAGTCAAATACTAACCGTGCTTACAAAGAGGTAAGTACGAACCATGCCAACAGGGATGTCAGATACTGCGGAGTTGAAGGGTCCGGGTTGAGGGGCGGGCTCATGACGAAGGCAGCAGCTGTGGCCCAGTCTTTGGACCAATAGTGAGAGCCGTCAGTAGCCAGACTGGCTGTGATTGGTTCCCCATACACCACCATACCTGAGGACAGAAGGGCATCAGTTTGTTAGACTGAGGTGTAGCGCTCAGGGCAGGATGCTACTGATGACAGTGCTGTGGAAAACATCCTCTCTTGTTCCAGTGCCTAAAAAAACACAACCAGCTGAACCCAATGACTACAGACCAGTTGCCTTGACATCTCACATCATGAAAGTCCTGGAGAGACTCTT